CTAATAATCCCCAATTAAACTTAAAAACACAATGAACAAACATCCAAGTAGTTAAAAACACAAACAAACTAAAAATCAGCCAGTTATACTTATTCATACTTGCTGAGAAAAACACACAAGAAAAAAAGCTTGAGGCCTTATAATTACTATGTTTAAATTTAATTACCTTTAGTATCCGTAATACACGCGAGACGCTTTGCTTCATCAACCTTTGCTTCAATTCTCTGCAATACATCAACCCAATAGTCTCCACATATATCTCCACATCCTCACAATTATCAATCTCGACACAAGGGAAAACGGGCTGCTGTTCTGATATCCGGCTAGCGAAAAAACTGCTGAACTCCATTAGTACCCCCCTGTGGACGCTCAATTTCACGTACAGTCCCTGCTTCCCGAGCAAAATCACCTTCAAATCACTACTTCCCGGCTCGCCAAACTCGATCGTCACCTTTTTCGGTTGATTTTCCGGCTTCTTAGGCACTGAAGGGTTACTTTTGACAGCTTGTGGATCGTTGTGTCGACTGTTCTGCTCGTCAGCAGCGACATTATTTGTTCTGGATGAATTCGAAACGGGTTTCTTCTCGTTGGAGGGGGTTTGCTTCTTCTGCATTTGTGGTTTGGGCTTGTTAGGAGGAGGGTTCTGTGGTGTTTTGAGGGTCTTTTGGAAGACAGTGGGTGAAGGGCAACACCAAAATCCTTCTGGGGTTACAGCTATTGGGACAGTCTTGATTTTGGTTTGGGCTTCTTCTACCCTTATCTCAGCCATGCTATGCTCTCAACAAGAATTCAAAATTTGAACTTTTTACAAACAAGATGAAAAAATAAAATCAAACCACATTCCTGCAAATCCGGATTGCTTCTAACAGCTCCTCGAACCAGATTTTATCTTCGGGCCAGGGCGGGTCGGGCCGGTTCCAGGTCGCTTTGCCATCCCTGCAATTGATACCAGAAATTGAGCTTATATATTCACCAAATTCAGAACCAACACCAAATTTTGTTACCTGTTCTTCTGCTAAAAATGTTGATGAAATTTCTAACACTTCGCCCATGGAGAATATTAGATTTCTATCATCTTCTTCCTCGCATCGATCAACAAAAAAGATAAAACTCAGATTGCACTAAAATGAAGCAAGCTTGATATTTGATACAGAGATAAGAGAGAGAGAGAGAGAGAGAGAGAGAGAGAGAGAGGGATGAAAATGATTGAAGGGTAGCTTTGATGTCAAGCATCATCAATGGAAACCACTTTAGCAAGCAGCTTCAAACAGAGTGGATTGATGAGGACCAGATTTTTTTCCCCTTTTTTTTATGAATAAAAGAATCTAAGGCAGTATGTTTATTAATTTATTAATTAATGGGAGTATTAATTAATTAATAAATGACGACATGCTCTCACTTTAGTAAAAACTAAAGCAAATAGAATAAAACAGTAATGTTCTTCTATCAATGGTAGACATATATTAATATGTCCACCGTTTATGTGGTATGTATTTATTGGTGATATATTTTTCTGAATATATTAACATCACCAATGAGTGAATGTCACATAAGCGGTGGACATATTAACGAGCATTATCCATAAACAGTAATTTTCTTCTATCAATGGTAGATATATATTAATATGTCCACCGTTTATGTGGTATGTATTTATTGGTGATATATTTTTCCAAATATATTAACATCACCAATGAGTGAATGTCACATAAGCGGTGGACATATTAACGAGCATTATCCATAAACGACATAGTATCAAGGAAAAAAGTGGTTTCAAACCACATGGTTGTTTTGGTAATTTCGCCATTTTTGTGGGGCCGCTGAATTTAATTTTATATCCCAGCATCATCATCATGTTATGGTGGTGGTGTGTTGCAAATGCAAAAAAATGTTAATTTTTTGTTTCTCTCACACACACTACTACACTACACAGAGTGCACAAAATTCAAAGTAGGAGTGATGAATGAGATTTAGAGGGAATTGAGGGACAGGCGTGCAAATATGTGCTTGGGACTGTCACCTCTCCATCTAATTGTTCCCTTTTTCTAGCTTTATTGTCCCGTGCTCTCTCCCATTTTACCTTAACAAATGGTAAATTTTAGGATACCTATCAACACGGGTTGGCTCAAGTGGTAAACAACTTGATGTCGTTTAAGCAAGGTCTCGAATTCGAGTCCTTGTGAATGACGAAAACTTTTGTTGGGAGACTCACCCACCATTGCGAGTTCGAGTCCTTGTGGATGCAGAAAATCCTTGTTGGGAGACTCACCCGCCATTGCCAGATGTGCGACCCGGGTCGACCAACGGATTAGTCGAGACATAGTTTCAGATACCGTGGCTGGCTACCCAAAAAAAAATTTAGGATACCTTAATGGAAGAATTTGTAATGATCTCTTGTGACATCTTTTACATTCTAATACAGACATGCACTTTTTTTTTTACGCACTTCCAATCAAAATTTATTTTCATCCTGCATCTCACGAAATTGTATACGATATGGAAATTGCATGTCGAAATGAATCGCATATCTAACAGTTAAATGTTATGCGAAACACTTTTGCATATATTGTTATTGCATATCCAAATCCAAAACATAATTTACCATGTGCGATAACGTTTCCGCGCATTCTGTTATCGCATATCCAAATCGAACGCAACATGTTTTGTGCAACAACTTTCATATCCAAATCTTTAATCCTACATAATTTACCATATGCGAGACATTTTCGTATATTTAAGAATCGCATATCCAAATCGAATGTCGTATATTTTATGTTATGCGACAAACGCTAAAACATTATTTTGCATTGGGTAATGAATCATTAATGTCCGACAGCATAGATTTTTCAGCAAAATTACAAAAAATATTTGAAGAAAAAAAATTAATCGAAAGGAATTTTGAAGAACTGGAACAATATGCGGGTTATAACGGAAATTTAAAAAATAATAATTTAAATAATCAATATTTTGTAATCACATATCCACGTCAATCGCACAGTTCACGACTCACATATCAAAAATTATAACTTAGAATATTCACTAATCGCATATCCAAATTGAACGTCGAAATATTTACGACTAACTGTATAATTTATCAATATGCAAACATGTTTCGAATATTAGCATATTGCACACTGCATTGATTGAGTGCTTTTTCCACCTAAATTTAGATACGCAAGATGTGGACTTTTTTGTTAGTAATCTTATTAGTGTCGTCACTTCATTATTTTCAATATGCATTTATTCTTTCGTCTTCTTGCATAAATTTACTACCGTTAATTCTTTCTTTCTTTTTGTTCAAACCTTTTAAGACCTTCTTCACCGGTACTGTAAATTGCAAAATTACAGTACGGGATGCTCCACGCGATCTGCAAAACTGATCGCAAAATTGATTTTGCTATGTCTCTCTCCTCTCTTGAAAAAAAAAAAATTGCAGGTCC